CCCCCCGGAACTTTGTTTTGCAACAGAGACCCCCCTGAACTTCTGGATTCCACCATGTTGCCCCTGCTGTAAGCATTCCATCATTAACTTCATGGGATATTCCTTTAAGTGTTTCTAAAACCCTATTTTATGAGACTGCCCTTTTAACTTGTTTTTTCTACAACCCCAACTCCCACATGATCCTCTGAACTTTTTTTCAACAAAGTTCGTCTTCAGAATGTGTTGATAATGATTGTTTCATTAATGCCTTGAGAATGATTTGTGCTTCAGAATGGTTATTTTCATCATTTTGATATTTGTTACTGTCATCCCCATAAAATATTGAGTGGGCAATTTTGTAATTTTACTTTCACTATCACCCCCCTGTTAGTGGGTCAGGGGCAATGTGCTTGAATCTGGAAATTCAAGAGAGTTGAAGTGGGGGGGGGGGGGGTCGCAAAACAATGTTTGGGGTGCTTAGTGTTTCAGAGTTTTGATGAACTTATGCCATTTTTTCTGAATTTATACTTCTGTGTCTGTTTCCATGCATTTACAAGGATAGTTTTATGTTTTTGTTGCCTTAAGATGACAATTATGGCTTTATTGCATAAGATAGATATGCAGTTTGTTGCTTCTTTCCATCATACAGTTGAAGTATAGCAAAAGCAATTGTGGATTCTTAAGCCTTGACCGTTCTGTTTGTAAGAAACCAGGAAACATCATTCTGGAGACATGTACGTGTTTCTAATAATTTCTTGCAAGTAAATTAAATGCAGTTATTCCTTGTTCCTCTAAAGAGCCAGAAGATTACTATAAGGCACACCAATAAAACCATAAAAAATCATTTTAACATTGTCTCCAATGTCTCTTTTTATTCTTTATGTAGTGGTTTGCAACATGAAGGTTTCTATTGGGGATGTCAATTATGCTAGCTTTCTAGAATATTGAAACATGACCCAGAGCCAGTTATCACTTTACATTAAAATATAATATGCAAAACAATTTGGTAAACATATATTCCTGTGAATCTTTCACCTAGTAAATCCATGGCTTCAGATTAGGCAATGAATATCTTAAATAAAACTGGAAAATAATGGAGAGAGATGGGACTGCTTGATAAGATAATGGAAGCTTGCCCTCAATACATGTTATATGTTGAGTAAGAAAATATATAATTCATAGAATTAATCAAAGGCCAAATATAGAATCCATCCAGAGGAAGAGTAACTTGATTGGAATTCAAAATCTCATATAGAAAAACAGGTGGTGGAAAATCATAGTGGAACTTAGTACAGATATAAATTTTTAAGGTTTTACCAGGCATAAGCTAATAAGCTTGCAATTCAAATTGCAAATTAGCATGGTAAAGTTAGTACATATATAATCCCTTTTTCTTCAGATTTATGTTCTTGAACTTTAGCCATTACCATATCAAGGTGTGCAGCATTGGGGAATGTCTTTAGATGTAAATTTGTGCTAAAAATGTAGTCATATAGTTGACATTATTTGAGTGAAAATATCATGCTTGTCTACATATTCTGTTGGATCAAGCCTTCATAGGAGGGACCATCACTTGGTGCAATTATAAAATCTTGAGCTTGAAAAGTGTGAGAATTCTGAGTGGCCACTTTGTGCAAAAAAAAAAAGAAAAAAAAATAAAAAAGAATGGAAGGTTAGGTCCATATCCAGTCTCTCTCTCCCAAGACCCTGATTAACCATCATTGGGTAATGGTCCTTTTATCAAGCCTTTATAGTCCAAAGATACAGACCTTGATAAATTGTTATTGATAATTAAGTAAAATGGAATATATTTCTGCAATCATGACCTTTTTATCAGTTTCTGCTTAGTATGATCACTGCAGATCATCATCTTGTGGACATTAGGTGACAAGATCCATAATAGGAAAAAAAATGTTAACTTGAAAAAGGTAAAAAGAAAGAAAATACGTATGAATTTATCATTAATTTCAAAAGAAATTTTCTGACTTTGTTCTGCCAACAAGATTGCAGAGGATGTGATGCCACCACCAGCAGTTTTAAAGATACTAACTTTTATGTCTAAAGTTATTCCTGAGGCAAAGCTCTTCCCAGAGAAAGATATAGCAGATCTGTCATTCAGAGACTCAAGGAAAAGGAAAATGGTTAGTCTTTCTCTTGTTATTTATGCATGCATGTGAGTGAAACATCAAGCTCCTATTTCTGCACTACCAATTTTTGAGTAGTGCAGAAATATGGTTTTGAAACCAGAGCATAATTGAATGATACAAATTAATTGGAATGTCATTTTCTTTCTTTTTCACTTCAATCTCAGCCTTGTGAATAGGTTTGTGAACTTTTATGCCAATTTTCCTTGATGTTGTAGGCTGCATATAATGTGATTGCATACTCTGATCAAATGCGACTGAAGAATGCAGTTGAACTTTTGAAGGCCACAAAAGATATTGAGTCACAGGTGGAGAAGGTCAGCTTCCTTTCAGGCATGCATGTGCATGTAGGTTTAATTTTCATATGTCAGTAAACTTGGACAGTTGCACAGTCTCTACCATTTCCTAACTGCCTGAGGGATGAGACTCCAATGCAAGCATGTAGATATGCACAGATTATTATTACTTTACTCAAATTAGGACATAACTCCACCATACTCAAGATTCATCATAGCTCCTTGACATGTCTGACATTGTCCAAAGCAAGAAATGCCCAAACTATGGTTATTCAATTTTTTAACTCTCCCTACCATAAGAGTATTCCCCCTATGGGTTGCCTGATAACCTACCAACAGATTCAGGAAACACACTACCAATACACCCCGAAGATAATCATATGAAAAATTATTCTGATAGAGTGGGTTTTTTTCTGACCAGTAGACTCCAGAATGGATCAAAACATGCTTTTTCCTTTACAGAGAATATGAGATTCATGTGGATTGATCAGCTATATATATACCATATGAGGGAAATTGTGAATGGTTAACAGGCATGGAACTGGGGAGAGGGAGCTTATATTCCTAGAATTAGATAAAAAGAACACCATGATGATACTTCTTTTGTTCAAACTGGTTTCTGGTTAGAAGTATTAGAGTGCTTAATCATTTGTACAAAATGTAATTCCAAAACAGGTTGTCTTAACATCATTAGTGCTGTATGGGATGTGTCATTTTTGTTCATCAACGAAATAAGAACTTCTTCATAGGATATTCAGTATTTAGCAGCATGCAACAATTAAATCTGATTTGGTATACATGCTTCTTTTTGTTTTTTTTTCCCCTAGGTTTCATCCCCATTGCTTGTTCTTCATGGAGATGCAGACAAGGTGACAGATCCATTAGTGAGCAAGTTTCTTTATGAGAAGGCTTCCAGTAAGGACAAAACCCTAAAGCTCTATGAAGAAGGTTACCATTCCATTCTGGAAGGGGAACCAGATGATAGGATTCTTAACATCCTAGATGATATTGTCTCGTGGCTTGACTCTAGATGTGCAGTCAAGTAGAATTGGTGTCTGCTTTGATCGTTTGAGATCCTTGATCCACTGCTTTATTCTGTTCTACCGTCATTCCTTTATATCTGTTTCTTGTATTATTGCCCAGAAACTTGGTGGGAAATGGATTTTGGAGACAAAACCATAATAAATGCAGAAGGCACAATTTTTCAAATTCAGGATTTGTACAATTTTGCTACAAATTGAAAGTCAAAAGAAACAAAAGGTTGGATGCCTTGCCAAGACACAAGGGTGAGTGAAAATATCTTCATACCTGGAAGGAATTGACATCTTCAGATGCATGAGACATCAATAGAAAGGATAGAAGTCAACCCTAAATACATTGTATAAAATGATAAAATAGTACCATAAATAACCATTATTGTCCATCTAAACTTACAAAGCAAAAAAAAACTGTTTAAGCCTGCACCTCCCCATGTTCTTTGTTTGCAACTTATTCTGAGGCAAGCTCTTTAAAAAAAAGAAAAGAAAATTGAGACAAGCTCCACCTAATCAATATCCAACAGAGAAAAGAGGGAAATACTAATTTGCCAAGTCACAGAATTCTTGCTATGGCATCAATAGAGCAACCCCTGATGATACACAGAGAGGCTGTTTCCAAGATTTGAACCCTGGCCACCCAGGTCACAATAGAGCAACCCAACTGTTGCACCAAGGCCAGCCCTCAAAAAGGTGTAACTAATCTGATCTTATGAAATAGCTCCAGTTCAGTTTAAGTACAAATGTTCTTGTTATTACTCGTAAGATCTATCCTTTGCACTCATCTTTGTATTTTATCTGGTTTTGTATTTTATCAGATTTTCTACCTATGTAAATTCTCCATTTTATATGTAAATTCTTTCTCCTTTGCAATATTTTTCTATAATTTCTACAAAGTAGTGGTGATAAATCTATCTCAGCATATCCTTGGAACCATGAATTTAATGGCAGGTCAAATTTCAAGAATAGGCTAGTTAATCAAGTTTCTTTTTACATGGATCATGGCAGTTCATCATGTGAACCAAATGCCAGTAAAACTACCAAGAATGATCATGAATTTATTCTTTGAGGAATGTTTGCAAGCATTACACATATTGATGAAGTAGGCAATGCACCGTATGGCTTTTATTTTATTATATTCTCCATTCTGACAAGAAAACGAAGTATTAAGTCAAGCCATAACTCCATAAGATAAGGACCCATTAGAACTAAACTCACAAAGCTTACATAAAACATGAAACTGAAGGATGGAACTAGGAAATTCAGCTTTAATGGAGAATTCACATCTCTCCATCCCAGAATTCCTCAAAAGTCTTAAATGGACCATCAGGAAACACAAATTCAGGTATGGTTGCAATTCTCTTCTGTGGTATTGAGGCAATTTTTTGCAACTCTTCCTCAGTCAGCTGCCAGTCAAATATTTCAAAGTTCTGCTTCAACCTTCCCTTGTTGAAGCTCTTTGGTATCAAAGTTACCCCTTGTTCATGTCCCCATCTCAAAGCAATCTGAAACACAGGAAAACAATTTAAGAAACACTCCAAAGATAAAAAAAGGATGAGTAGCATGAGAAAAATAGAGAATTTTTCTTTGTGAAAATATAACAATGGGTTAGCTCAGATATGGGGAGACAAACACCAGTTGCAGTCTGGATCTCTCATAACTTGTCACATGGCAGAAATTTAGAAGATAAGGACCCATCATTAGATGAATACCACTACCATGATTAGGTGTCCTTGGATTATCTAATTTAGGCATTATTTTCAGATCTTTCAAAGAGTTTAAATAGAACTTTTAATCACCATCAATATTCTTTCTAAGAAACACATTTTAGATGAGATTCTAGGATAAATTATGGCCTACATAACGTTCAAGTTCAGATCAATTGATTGGATCCTGATAAATCTAATCCAGGACAGACAGCAAGTTTATCAATACCTGTGCCACACTTTTTCCCTTGGCTTGAGCAATCTCATTAAGTAGCTCGTTTCCAAGAACCACATCAAATCCCCACTCCTTCGCTCCCAGGGGAGAATATGCACTAACATGGATTCCTTTCTCTTTGCAAAAGTCCCTTAGTTTCTTTTGCTGCCAAACTGGGTGCATTTCAACCTGAAGAGTTTATAGTATCGGTATTAATGGTAGTTAGATCTAATGAGAATCAATACATGAGATGAAATGCATAGACACACATATTGATGCCCACAGAGAACATGAAAAGGATCTGCAACAAATCAGTGCCGCCAGATGTTCATGTCAAGTGGATCTTGGGTCATGCTGATGCATTGATCACTAAGGCCTGTACAATTGCTCCTTTGAGCTTCTGTCTGGATTGCTTGGTGATGGTGAGAAATGGACTAACCTGATTGACAGCAGGAGGGATCTTAGCATGGGCAAGTAGATCAGTTAGTTTTTTGCAGGTGAAGTTGCTGACTCCTATGGATTTTGCAAGGCCAAGCTTGTGTACCTCTTCCATGGCTTCCCATACAGACTTGATATCCAGAGGGAAAATTTCATCCTTCTTGCAGGTCATGTCAAGTATGTCTTCCTTAAGTCTCACAGGGAAATGTATCAAATACAAGTCCACATAATCCAATTTTAGTTTCCTGAAACATTAGTAAATCATGAACAATCTAGTATCAAATTCTTACTTCTATATATATGAGCTCCCATTTTAGTTTCCTGTATATCATTCTATTATGGTTTATAGGTCATAGGTCATAACTACAGTGTATTAAGTAGTGTGGACATGAGCTAGCATACACGTTAAGCGCTCAAGTTCTATATATTGGGGGGGGGGGGGTGATGAAGATGATTTCCAGAGGTGGTATCCAAGGAGAGTTGTTTCAGGCCTTCAGAAAAGAGAGAGAGAGAGAGAGAGAGTTGTTTCATGTATTCCGATTTCAAGAAAATTGGGCCCCACAGCAATCAGTTCGAAAAAAATATATTATTTATAAAAATAATTCCACAAAAACAAGCTTTTGGTTGAAACCGGAAAGAAGCTCTACACTTTCTAGTTTAATTTAAAAACATTTTTTCCTGTGGCGATAAAGTTTCAAATTCTGACTTGGAAAGATATAAGCTCACTTTTCTTGTTTTCATTTCTATTTATACTTCGGACAAGTCCGTCTGAATGTGGGTTAGTATAATTCAGAAGAGTACTTATAAGAGGGACAAAAACATGTTTTTGTTTTTGAAGGAAAAATCTTTTTTTTTTTTTTTTGTTTCTCCTGAATCAAACTACTATGTTCTCAAGAAACATTCATGTCGATTGTTGAAGAACAAGAACACCCATGGTGGGTGGTTGTTAGTTTATAGTTACAAATTACTACCTGAGAGATTCTTGGATGGCAGGGAGTACACGATCAGGCTGAGTGTTGTTGCACCAGAGCTTGGTAGTGATGAACAGCTCGTCCCGACTCTTAATCAGGCCCTTCTCCAGGGCGGCGGCAACGGCAACACCCAACCCTTCCTCGCTCTGGTACAAGGCGGCCGAATCAAAATGGCGATACCCCACTTCCATGGCGTCCAAGATTGCCTTCTTCAGATCCTCAATGGGAGGAAAAGGAAACGACGCCGTCCCCGTGGCCAACATCGGCATCTTGTGACCAGAGTTCAACGTCACCTCCGGGACACCACAACGTCCAATCACCACCTCGCTCCTCTTCAGTGAGGCCTCTGTGTTTGTGTTGGCATGCACATCACCACCATTCATCGTCCCACCTCCCATATTTTTTCTTTTGAGATGATTGATGCACCTCCTACAACACGCCTTGTGTTCAACCGACTTTATGGTAAGAGATTGAGCAAGCCCTCCTCTGATTTTATACTTGGTGATCAACGTTAATTTGTCATAATCCTGTCATTCAAACTTCAAAGCTCTAGTAAGTCCAAAAGTATACAGTTTTCCTTTGCTCCCCTTTTTTGTTCTTTTCTTCTCCTTCGCTTTCCGTTCAAAGATCAGTGGAAATGTTGTTAGGTTCACAATCACAAGCTAACAACACAACCCCCAGATAGATCTAATTGTGGAAATGTTGTTAGGTTCGATCGGTGCAGGCCAGATGGTCGTCACAGTGGAACTGTAATTGGGCTCGAAATGTAAGGCTGCTTAAAAGTTGTGAACCGTTGAAATTTGAAAAGTATGATTATCGATGCAAATATCTGTATTGATTTTATCGATGTTATGTTTCACTTTGAAAAGAGTACTACAATACAAATATATATATATATATAAAATAATACAAAATATAAGATTTTGAACTTTAGTATCAATGTATCGATGCAAAATTCTATCATGTATCGAGTTTTACATCGATTTAAATACGAAGCGGAATGAATTTTTACACCGGACTATATCTAAACCGTAAACAAACCCGGCCTAAGAAATGAATAGTCATGCTCTTATTTTCCAAGCAAACCATTATTTAATAACTTTTTCCTGCGTAACGTGTTCAGTATCATTTAATTTTTTCCAGATATGGTGGACAAACCAACCATACGACATGTTGATTAGCAATTTGGCAAGGATCTAATCTAACAACCAGCAAAATGGATATTAGAGAGTAGTGACCTGAGTAACCAATGCATGGCGGGATGACAAGTGGTAGCTAAAGAAAGAGAATGGTAGTTAGGATTTTTTATTGATGGGGCCAAAGCTAAAGAAAGAGAATGGTAGTTAGGATTTTTTATTGGTGGGGCCAAAGCTTAATAAATATGGATGGGGCCAAAAGATAGGAAACGTGTGTAGGAGGGGCAAAATATATGTAAAAATTAAATGGCTACTATGGGGATTTTCAAGGCATAGGGGGATTCTAGCATAGGAGGACAACTTTTGGGCTTTAATATCAATAAAAATAATATTTTTAATATAATTTCTAGCATAAATTAATTTGTCTAAAAAAAATATCCAATAAGGACAGATATTGTTCACCTCTTTTTTCCTCCTAAACTATCGAACAAATCTCCCCCTTCTGAGTTGTTTCAAATTCAAAGCATATTCTCGTTATTCACAGCAAAGAAAGGCAGAGAGGGAGAGGTAAGGTGATTTCTCCCTCTCTGCTCTGCTCTACTGTGAACGGTGCTTAGGACCCAAACGGTGAAGTGTCGTTAAGAGGCGAGTTCTGTTAATTTTGAAAGATGAAGACATTAAATGACGTGGCGGCCCTTATTTTTAGTGGAGGGTATATGTATGCGAGTTTGAGAATCAGCGTGGGAGTGTAGAACTCAACAAAACACATACCTCGTTCCTAGTCACAGGAAAACCCTAACTCCTCCTCTCTCATGCTCAATGCAACCGGAACCCCGCAGAGATCTTGTAGATGAGCAAGCATTCGATGCCCAGATTGGTTCTGACTTCTGTTCATCATTCTGACATTGGCTCGGTTTGGCGCTATAAGTTCCCGCCAGCATAGAGTTCAATTATTCAATCTCTTATTACTCTCAACGATTCAATTTTATCTTTGATTTTTCTTTTTTCTACTTTTTAAACCTCGACAATGAAAAGGTCTAAGTTTTATCTGTAATCCATCTTCGCTTTCATGTAAGGGTATTCAAGATTAAAGTTCTGATGCTAATACAAGTCAAGATTGTTTGCCATGATTCAATCTTTATCTTTGCATTTATTTACTTTTTAGTTCTCCACAGTTTAAAATTTAAATTCCATGGTTTGCATCTATTGAAGATTCGACAGGTCTGATGCATGTAGTGTCAAAGGCCCACCTATCGTTGTTGCAGTTCATTACCATCCCTTCATCGGTGCTCGATTGAACTAGTGTCTCAGTCTCGTTATTTTGGAGGTTCGATGGTTTCGCAGGAGGAAGGAGGTGAATTGCCCTTATTTGATATTTTTCAAAAAAGTTAGCTTATTCTGAAAATTATATTAAAAAATGTTATTTTTATTGATATTAGGGCCCAAAACTCTACATTCACATAGGCCATGGCCATTGACCCATGAGAAAGAGTCGTCAAAAAGAGTCATTTACTAAAACACCTCTTATAGTTTCATGAATTTACTAAAACCTATCCTATAGTTTATATTTTAATGTTTTACTAAAACACTAGCGGAGGGGCCCCTGCAACTTCAAAAGCTAAATTATTGTATAGGAAAAAATGAATTTGCAAAAGGTAAACTTTTTAATTAATATTTTTTAGGAAAAAGGATTTACTTAAAATTAAGTAGAAATTTATGGATAATAATATATTTAATTTAATAAAATAAATAAATAAATTTTCAGTTTTAAAGTCAATTTAATATAAATAAATCAATTTTGTTGTTAAATAAAGAATACAAATCTTTTTTCTCAATTTCCTAGTTGGGCTTTGGGTAGGCCTGTAAACAGATCGAATTCGAATCGAATCAGGCTAGATTCGAATTCGAAACCGATTATTAACACTAATATTCGAATTCGATTCAATATCTGATGGATATCAAATATTTGAGTTTGAATTTGATTTCGATTATCAAATTGAATATTCGATTCAATTCGAAATCGACCGATGGCAGTGGTGGCTAGTGAGTGGTGATGGTAGTGCGACGATGGCAAAGGAGAGATAGAGAAGATGATGGTTGTCATCGATGATGGTGGTTGCCGTCGAGACTACCGTCACTAACGATGGCAGTGCGGCGAAGGAGAGATAGAGGAGAAGATGATAGTTGTCGTCGGTGATGGTGGTTTCTATCAAGACTACTGTCACTCGACTGCCGTCACTGATGTTGTTGTTGGTAATGGTGGTTGCTCGAGCGGCTGCGATAATGATTTGAGATTTGAAAGAGAAGAGATAGAGGAGAAGATGATTAGATGAGATACGGGAGAGAACTAAAGAGAGGCAAAGGATGAGGTGCGGTGGCCGGTGATTGGTACTCAACCGTCGAGTTGCTGGTGTAGCTGGTGTGGTTGCTCGGGCGACGGCGACGGCGGCGACAGTGGCGAAGGGAGGATTAGGGTTAGGGTTTGCAAGGAAATGGAGACCGGAGAGAGAGAGATCAGAGATTCAGAGAGGTTCGAATGTTTCATGTTTGCTTCATTTGTTATTTACATTTTTTACCTCCTTTTTAAATTTATATATACAATATATATATATATATATATATATATATATATATTGTATATTTTTCGGATCAGATCAATGCATATCTTGGATTGTGCCAAATCTTGGATTCGAATTCAGATTTTCGAATACCATTTATAGGCCTAGCTTGGGGCTTTATATAGAGGTCAAGCTTGGGCTTAAGATCTAGGCCCAATGGTCCAATCATGCTTAGGCTTGGGCCTGAATACATTCCATTGATATAAAGGCAAAGCCTAGCATGGCCTATGAATCTCCCAATGTCAAATCTCCTTTATTTTACTGATTTATAAATATTTTTTTTACTTTTATTAACTAAATAAATGCTTAGATAATAATAATAATAATAATAATAATAATAATAATAATAATAATAATAATAATAATAATAATAAAATAAATGTCCATTAAAATCTTTCTCTCAATATCAAATCTCTTTTATTTTATTGATTTATAAATAATTTATTTAATTCTATTAAATAAACAAATGCTTAGATAATTATAAACAAATAAATAAATGAGTAAATAAAAGTTGGGATAAAGAATAAGAGAGAGAGAAGAGGGATGACATTTTATTTTATAGGATGGCATGATCATAAATAGTTATATATGGCATTGCTATAATTTTTGAATATCATAGGGGCATTGCTACAAAAAAAAAGTAAGTTTGTCTTATATGTGGTATTCCTATAATTTTTGAATGCCTTAGAGTCAATTAAATTGGAAGGTTTATCTTATATGTGGAAGTTTTGTAATTTTTGAATACCATAGAAGCAATTATAAGTTTGAATGATTGTCATATATGTGGTAGTTATGTAATTTTTGAATAACATAGGGGCAATTATAAGTCAATCACATAAGGGGGTTTGTCTTTATGTGGCATTCTTGTAATTTCTAAGGAAAAAAGGGCAAAAGTTAGTGTTAGATTCCATTTCTTACATCCTTATGCTTTCCTTCGTACAATTTTTAGATTAATATATTTATAAAGATATAGATCTTCTATGGTTTGCAATCAATTTATTTAATCGACTTTCTATTAGATGACGATGGAAAACGACAATTTTGACTCTAATGTTTATTTGAATAAATTTAATCAAAAGAAAATAAAAATAAAAATACTAATTTTGCTCCTAATAAGACATGAGCAACCACTCTTTTTTGTTCTATTTGGTCAATATTGTTTGGATTGAACAATCATGGGCCCATTCCCTAGAACCTTTTCCACTCACTTTAGATGGTCATGTCACTATTTTTAGATGGAAAAACAAATACTTTTTAGAAAAAGGTTGATTAAGTAAATAGGTTGCAAACTATAGAGAGTGTTTTAATAAAATGAAAATTATAAGATATGTTTAAGTAAACTATAGAATTCAGATTAGCTGAAGTGATGACTGTTGAGCGGGTTAGAACTAGTAATAAATTCATGGGCCCCGTTATGAAAGGTGTGAGTCTCATGTATTTTATTACTGACGTGGAACCTTGTCATTGGTTCCACAGCCTGCTGAACAGCCATCACATTCAGCTAATCCTTGCTTGAAACTATAGAAGGTATTCTAATAAATGATTCTTAAAAAAACACTCATATTAACGTGTCATTTACATTAAGTTTCAAAACAGCCCAGGATGTTTTTTTTTTTCCAAACAGCCAAACAAACTTTCTCTTTCTCCTCATTGACTTGGGCTGGCTTCGGGTCCAAGCGATCTTGGGCCTGTTCAACCAAAGCCTTAAAATTGAACCTGGGTCATGGTTTGGGCCGTTTGGCGCTTGGGCTGGCAAGGTTGGCTACTTGGCTTTGTGAAAAATGGGAATGCTATAGATTTAGCAGATAAAGCCTACAAGTAGATAGGTAACGCCCATGATCACGATGCAGCAGCAAACGCAACCAATAACATCCATTCCCACCTCTAAATTAATTCGTCCTCGATTTGAAATTGTAGCATCATATCTTCATCAAAATGATCAAACTAAGCGGAAGTCAAGACAATTGGTTCTCTATACTGTACCAGTATTTTAAAACCTTACCGGAGATCGAACCGGTGTTCCTCCAAATAAGGGCTTGATGATTCAACCATATGGGTTCCACAGTTCAGCCCATAAATATGTTGAAAAAGCACTATATCTGAATACTTTTTATACTAATATCTAAGCGACATAGATTTAGTAACAAACATGGGTCTTTTATCATATATAACTAGAGCCCAAATAATACATATAATGGAAATAAGGATTATTGAAAGAGAAGGAAAAGAATTACCACTAAGGGGGCATTCCTTTTTTTGAATTATGAGGGGGAAAAGTTGGTCAATGTGATTTTGATTCCCATTGATTAAGAAATTCATTTTCTTTTTTCAGATTTATGTGGGACCAAGAAAAATTTATTTTCCTATACCCATCTCCTAGGTGGGTAAATAACTTTTCCACCAGGGGAGAAAGTCACTAAGACTTGAATGGGACAAAAATGACCCTTTTAATAATGAATTTTTATGGCTAAAATGACAATTGCCTTATTTACTGGGGCAATAAAAGTAAGTGCATTTACCCGGATAAATAACTTACCGAAAAACAAACAAGGCCTAAGTACAACCTTCTTTTCACTTGTCTAAGTATATTAGTATTTCCTTAGCTAGCTTGTTGCTAAAGTCTTTGGCTGGTTGTGTAAGACCTGGGATTAGGGGTGTCAAGGGACTGGTTTTGGGGTGGACTTTGTCTAAATCAAAATTAATTTGGACAGATTGGACACATCAATAAGACATATTAAATTGGATGAGTCCAGACTTAATAGTTCAAATCAATGTTTTAAAAACCGATTTGGACTAAACCCACTTTGGCCACCAGTTTTGAGTCAGTGGTTTGACCATCCGGTTCAAATGGATTGCTAGTTCAAATGCCCAAGTCAATAGGTTGCTGACAAAGTCAACAGTTTTTGGCCAATGAATGGGTTAAGGATGAAAAGAAACCGGATGCCTGACTAGTTTATGGGTTGAACAGTTCGACTATCCAGTTCAACGACAATTGGAAAATTCATGGTCCAAAGTATTATTGGATTGGATCTGGTCCATCCATAATGGATTTATATTGGATTGGGTTGGATTGAACCAATATCCAATACATTGATAGAAGATAATTATATAGGTGTCAATAGACCAGTTTTGGGTTGGAACCAGTCTAAGTAGATAGGACAGTCATACATTGAATTGGACTGGTCCAAAATGGTCCAAAGTATTAAATTGATTGGATTGGACCTGATCCATCTATAATGGATCCATATTGGACCGGATCGGATTGGACCAAATTCGGTCCAATTGACACCCCTATCTGGGATCAAATCCCACCTTCATTAGGGTTTGGGGAAGGCTTTTTGTGTGGTCCATTGCCTATTACCCAATTATTTTGATGGTGTTTTTTGGCATCCCTTGAAATTTAAAAAGAAGAGGTGCAGCATAAAACCTGCATAATTGTAGGCTCTAGGTGGTAATGTGTGACATGAAATACCAAAAACAAAAGAAGAAAGAAAAAACAATAATATGGTACCTGATGAGGGTGGATTTGGCCCTCCAATGACATCATGACACATGGCATCTTAGAACAGTTGGACGACACCTAGACACCATCTAGGTGATAATTTGGAGTCATAGATTGCAGTTCATCTTCGCCCTGACTTGGCAGCCTCGACTACAACTTAAGTCGGCTTGCAGCACCTCGTCTAGGGCCGACCTGTAGCACCTCGTCACTGGCCGAAGTGACCTCGACGTGAGGAGCGACCTCCCTCGAGGGCTTGCCGACTTGACTAAGGACTTGCAAGATGTGCTCGCCGACAAATTCGACATGCATATCCCAACATTCCCAGGTTTCTCAGAAGTTGGCCCACGTATCGGATATTCCGGAGGATGGTCAACATGCATGGCGGTTACCTCCGAGGATCTCAGACCGGTTAGGCACGACCTCTCGGAAATCTCAGGTGCAGTGCGTGAGGCCCACACCAAACAATGCCTATATAAAGACACCAACCCCAATGACACAAAGGAGGTACGCGCGATTACTTGCTCATTAGCTTATTTGCATTCAAGCTTTCAGCTCGCAACTAGAGTATAGTACTAACTTAAGCATCGGAGCGACCTCGCCGGGTTAGCCACCCCAAGTTCTCTGATCCTTTATCTTGTAGCTTGGTCCAGCTCGTTACGCAACTAGTGCCCAGATAGTCTTCTAGCTAGGAGCTTCCAGATCGCGCACCACCAGTACCTACATGGAATGGTAGCCCATGTCAAATTAAGAGGGGAATTTACTTAGGCTCACTTTGAAAAGAGTACAAATGCAAATTTATAGAGTGCAAATAGATACAAAATAATACAAAATACAAGGTTTTACACTAACATCCCACCAAAGACCAAAGTTGGATGTTTGCAAGACATTATCAAATTTCCCTAGGTCATATTTATGCTTTTGAACAAAAAATAGAGAGGAATGGATCCAAATCTGATTGAATGATTCGATTTATTCGGTTAAACCCGAATCAAATAAATCTAAATTTTAAAAATCAAATTAAAAAAATAAAAACCAAAACTAAATTATAGAAAAATCAAAATTTTTGGTTTGATTTTTGATTATTTGATTAAAACTGAATTTTAATAATATATACTCTATTTATATATTCTAACATATAATATATATTATATATTATAAAATATATTATGAAATCAAATTTTATTTTATTAATTAAATTTTTAATTTTAAAAATCAAAACCAAAAATTAAATTAAAAAAACCGAAACCGAAATTTTTTGTTCAGTTTTTTTTGTTTTAATCGAATAGTGCCCACCCTAATGATGACATAGAGAGAAATATAAAGTTGAGGGAATTATTTATTATTTTCTGTCGAATAAAACATGAGGGATCACTTTGCTACTGAATTAACTGAATGGATCTTTTGGTTTGGAGATCCTTCCTCTCTCTAATTTATCCTTCAACTTCAAACCATAACAGCATGAGACAATAAGTAATTAAGTTCAGCCACTTCAGCCGTTATCAAACGGCCTCTTCGACGGGACTGCTTTCCTTAGTAGATGTTCTCGCTAAAGACATATCCAATCCAACCTCATCCACCATAATATCTCAGTCTCACACCTCGCGGGCTAGCCGTAGTAGTGATTTGCAGCTCCCGCTGAAGCTGCTGACAGCACCATTCTGTAATCGCGCAAATTTCTCTTCTTCTTCTTCTTCTTCTTCTTCTTCTTCTTCTTCTTCTTCACTTTCATTGTAAGAGTGTCATGAAGCATAGAGGATCATCATCTAGCTTTAGCTGAAAATATAAACTTTAACCAGTAGAAGAGCAACAGAAGAGGAAAGCTAATGGCTTTCTCAACAGCTAAATTCACAGAACTTCGTCTCCACAATTCGATCCAAATACGCTCACACCATTCTCTTGGTCTCTTGTTTTCTTCGAAGCCTTCGTTATCCATAGTTAGTCGCTTCTCCTCCACTTCTTCTCTCAGAACCAGCGAACGCAGCGACCGTGCTGACGATCGATGGAGCCCTAGGAGCAGGCGTTATCCATGGGACGATGACAATCCTAGAAGAAACCCCACCGTTTCTGACAAATCCAGGACTCCTTCTGCTCCTTGGCTCAACAAATGGCCCTCTGTTAACCCTCCTATCGGAGCTGTCAATCGAATTGCCGACTCAGAGAAACAGCGTAAGGTGGAGGACCCGGTGGAGAGTCGATACTTCGACGGAGATAAAGGGAGAAGTGCAATTGAGAGGATTGCCCATCGATTGCGAAATCTGGGGTTAGGCTCCGATGATGAAGACGAGGAGGTTGGTGGGGAGAGTAACGAGGAAATGCCGCTCAGTGGTGAAGAGAAATTGGGGGACTTGTTGAAACGGACTTGGAGTAGGCCTGATTCAATTCTTCATGAAGATGAAGATGAGAAAGGAAAGATGCTTTTGCCGTGGGAAAGGGATGAAGACGACCAGAGCGAGGAAGAGGACGGAAGGGGATTGAAAAAGAAGAAGAGAGTGAAAGCGCCAACATTGGCAGAATTGACAATTGAGGATGCAGAGTTGAGGAGGTTGAGGACTCTTGGGATGACGCTTAGGGAAAGGGTTAATATACCGAAAGCAGGTGTTACCCAGGTGATTCTCGAGAAGATTCATGAGAAGTGGAGGAAGTCGGAATTGGTGAGGCTCAAGTTCCATGAGACGCTTGCACATGATATGAAGACTGCCCTTGAAATTGTTGAGGTGAGTGAATTTCTTGATTGCTGATTTGAACACTGAATTATTTTGGTATATTCTTCTTTCGTTTTGGACATAATGTTGGGGCTCTGGTCACTGAATCTCAATGAGCATTGTTAATGTTAGCTATCTGGAATCTACAGATAGGTTGAGAGCATTCTTCTTTGTTCTTTCATTTTGGACATACTGTTCGGATGCTGGTTACTAAATCTCAATGAGCTTTGTTGATCTTGTTATCTTGCTTTTGAACTTTCTTTTATAGATTTTTTGGGGGTAGGGAGTTTTGATTTTTTTTCCCCTCTTAATAGTTGGGAGACTAATTGTTACCTTTCTTGAAATCTTCTTTTTTCTTTAATGACGATGCTCTTATGTTTATGCCTACCTACCTTTTAAAACGTAAAAGTATTAAACAGGAACTTATCATTGTAGAATTATTTTCTAAATCACGTTTTTGTTCCTTAACCAAACTTTTTTACTATATCTTTTTTTTTTTTTAGAACTGAACTTAAGGTTTTTTTTTTTTTTTTGAGAGAGAAAGGTAGGGAATTTTGCTTATAGTTTATAAACCTAAACCGTACAACTTAACATAGTACAAGTATATTTAGATATAAAATATAAGTATATGCATCCCAAAATTTTAAAATGAAAACGCATCAAACAGTAGCTTATCTTTAACCAATCTTCTGACATAATCTTTTCCAACATTTTTTTGTGCCTTTGTATTCTATAAATATTCTTAGAACTGAATCCTACATTGGGGTTTCTCGAAATCACATGTCTACATATTTATTACAAAAAAAAAACACATGTCTACATCCTTATTTTTACCTTTGTAGACCAGAATGAACGAGTTGAGGTAGTGAGAGAGATTTGACTAATTTTTCAATAGAAGATATAGCCCTAGAATCCCAGATGGATTGGATTGGCAGGAAAATATGTATGACCAACCCCAAATAGTCCTTAGATTAAGGCATTGTTGATTGATTTGCTTTTTCTTTTTTTCTCTTTTGAATTAAAAGATCAAATATTGTTCCTTTTCCAGCAACCAATTAATGGGGAATGGTGATCTATTTTCTGAATCTGAAGAACTCTACTTGCTTTTTTTCTTCCCATTCTTGTTATTTATCTTTTTGCTTTTTAGAGATAGTTACTGAGAAATAGTTGAGGACCTTGTTTTAACTGCCTCTTGTGCTGGTCAGCGCCGAACAGGAGGACTGGTTATATGGAGATCAGGAAGCATTATGGTGGTGTATCGGGGAAGTAACTATGAACCTTTTTCAAGACTTAAGACTGTTGAAAGTGAAGGCAATGCTCTTTTTGTCCCAGATGTTTCATCTTCTGCCAATTCAATTTCAAAGATCAATAATGATATTATGTCAGCTCCAGAAAAGAAAGATCCAGGTGTTCAGAATCCAAATCAAGCTGAAAGCATGACAGAAGAGGAAGCAGAATATAACAGCCTGCTAGATGGGTTAGGTCCTCGCTTTGTTGATTGGTGGGGTACTGGAATTTTACCAGTTGATGCTGACTTGCTTCCTCAAACTATTCCTAGCTACAAGACACCCTTTAGACTTCTCCCAACAGGAATGAGACCACGACTGACAAATGCAGAGATGACCAATTTAAGGAAGCTTGCCAAATCACTTCCTTGTCATTTTGCCCTTGGTACTATTCAACTCTTTGTCTATGGTTGTAAATTCAATGGATGTGGTTCCTTGCTTTCTCATTTACTTATGACTTTCATCCTGAACATTTTTCATCATAAAGGGAGAAACAGAAATCATCAGGGTTTGGCAGCTGCAATTGTGAAACTCTGGGATAAAAGCCTTGTTGCAAAGATTGCTGTCAAGCGTGGTATTCAAAATACAAACAACAAATTGATGGCTGAGGAGCTAAAGGTGCCCCTTTTTCCCTGTCCAAGGATGCCGCAGATGTTGATAACATGATTTACCAAGGTTAAATGTGTGATTAAATTGTGGTTCCTTGTCAAAGTGCTTACTTTGAAATGACCAAACAACAACAACAACAATAATGCATGATACGTATTATAAAAATTCTGGTGTAGCTATCTGTTCTAGGAGCAAAGAAGCAAAACCTGGATTTTTTTTTTGAAAATTTTATGTACATTTGTATCTTTAAACTGTAAGGGTATTTTGGCCATCTTGTCTGTGGAATCTGGTCTTAGTTGTTTGATTTGTCTAGTCATAGTTTAGTTGCTTTTTAAGTTTCAGTCATTGAATAAATAGTTTAGAGTTACTGAGTTTTCTTATGATTGTGGAAGTCTTATAATTTTTGTTTTTCCTTGTTCTAGTAGATTGGCAAATGGCCACTCCTATAATGTCTGTACATGTATGTGCCTGGTGCAAAAATGTAAAGATGATTAATTAATGGTGTTTAATTGAGATCTTGTAGCTAATGGTACATGTTGAGTATCTTTGGTTTTTCTCTCCTTTTTTTGCACTCCATCTTCTTCTTTTGAGAGGTTATTACATCCAGAAACAACAATGAATTTGTCATCAAAAGGCATGCACTCAACTTCTCAAAAGATTAGAGCTGATCTAAGTGAGCTTTTTTACTCCAAACCTAACCAAACTTGGTCACCTTCTACCATCATCCATTCTAAACCTACTTATGAAATTTCATTGAAAAACACCCATTCTAGTCTTCCTAGACCAAGTTTCCATATTATGAAATTTTCACTGTCTTAGGACAAATCTGCAATTCTTGTGTTGTAGTGATCCCTTGAGAGTTGAGTGAGGCCTTTTTTAACCTGATCAATCCCTATCTTTAGTCCTAAAATCACCTCTATATCTATCCTAGCCATCCTAGGCTCATCCTTGATTCATTTAAGTCCTACATTAATTGGTATTACACTATCCATCCTTTTTTTTTTTTTTTAATTTTTTGTCTGGCATATTAGATATCATCCTATCTCAAGACCTAGAGTGGAATTTTAGGGCGAATCATGGTAGGCTGACCTGCTACTTTACTTTGCACACCATAGAATCTTTTTTGATTAGTAACTGATTAACCATACTTATCATTAATTCAAAGAAGAGAAACATTAATCTCTAGTCAAGTTGGAAGAGTAGGATAGCGAGTACAATTCCTAAACTATGGGAAAAGGCCATGTGTATGTTGTGTGGTTGTGGGCTATATGGAAGAGTAGAAATGGGAGAATATTCAATAACAATGATAATAGTCCACCTTGGATTATTGATCAAACATGGAAAAGTTATTTGGACCTGCAACAAGGATGACACTGCAAATCAATAGTAATTCTGTTCACCTTGGACTATCAACAGTGAAGAACATCAAGTATAGTTCATGACTGCCATGATATTGCACAAAACAAGAACTATAGAACCTCTGTGGAATACATGAAGCATAGTTCATTATTGCCATGATATTGCACAGGAAGCTGGGTTGGAGTCTTGGAGATATTGTATAGTCATGTTTACAAAGAGGCAAATCAAGCTGTGGATTGGTTGGCCAATCTAGGTCATCAAGGTGTCTAAGTGTCTTTGAACAAGTTATAGTCTTAGGAATAAATCTGAACTGACTGTTATATATTTCTATTATGGGCTTCTGGGTTGTGCTACGCATGCTTTGTGTAGTACCTGTTAACTACCTATGAAAAAAACCGGAAAAAAAAAATAACAAAGCATAACTATAATCTTTGCCTTTCAATCACAAAAGTGAATCCATTGCTGATATTGTTTACTTGGAAGTTGGTCTCTCTTAGGACTTGGGCCTTATAAGAGGATCAAGAGTAATGGAAACTCATCAAGTCACATATCTTCTTATGTTCTTCTAGGAATTGATAAAAGAATCTGATTCTTAATCCTAGGGTTTTGTTCTATTGTTTTCCTTCAAATTTTTCACTCAAACCCAGTACCCCATAGTTTTCCCCCATAAAGCCACGTTTGGCCCCTCTTCACCAAGGCTGAAAGCATTTTGTTGGGAGGCCACATTACTGCATTAGAAACCATCGACATGGATGAGATTCTTCAAAGGATGCAAAAAGCTTGGTGCCTATCCCCATGTGTGCATCCTATGCCTCAGGAGTGGTAGAGTGTCAATCATTTTTTCCTGTCTTATCAATATGCATCTCAGGTATAGAATCACTTTCTTCTTATTTTTGGAGCTACTTGAATGCTACCATCAGATATTTCTCATTTATTCTCAGATGGATTGTTGCAACTAATTACAAAAAAAAAAATAAAAAGCAAAGGATGATGTGGCATTGTACTAGAGCAACTATAATGAAGCCTTTCAGGTGAAAGAAATAATGGATCTCTTGAGGATAAGAAACAAACTTTCCAAGACCTGATAGAGTTATTATCAGTAAGAATCTCCTATTGGGTTTTGTTATTCAAGGAATTCAAAGGGAACCACTATGGTTAAATCACTAAGGCCTTGTTCGTTTAGAAAGAGGCCATTTACCCAGGAATCATTTACCCGGGTAAGTGTATTTACCCATGTTCTTTTTTGTTAAATTTACCCGGGTAAATGAGACCTTTCAACTTCCCCATGTTCTTTTGCCTCACCCACCTTCCCAGGTAAGTGGTTAATTTTTCTATGTTTTGTCAGTTTTACCCTTGGGTCCAGGTCCATGCTTTTTGAATTATTTTTTTTAATGGGCATTTTTGACATATTATATTTTGAGCATTTACTCTCCACTTGGGAAAGTTAACTTTCCCAAGTGGGAGAAGGGTAACACTTTCCCGGGTAAGTGATACCCAAGGGAAAGGCATTTATTGTGGGTCCCACCTAAATCTTGAAAAAGAACATGGAAGAGTTAGTCAATGGGAATCAAAATCCCATTGACCTACTTCCCCCCTTCCAAAATCTGTGAAACAAAGGAGGCCTAAGGGGCAAGTTGTGGCCAGCAGCCAGCTACATGTGAAAAGACAAGTAAATTAAAACTAAACTTTGATGACTACTGTTTAGGCAACTTAGGTGTTTCAGGTCTGGGGTATCAATGGGGTTTGGCTATATGAATCTGGTTTCACCATTTCGTTCGTTCAGTGCCGTATCCATTGATAAATTATGGATGCTTGATAACTTCTTATTACTTCACCCAAATCCTTTTTGGTCTGCCCCTGGCTCTTCTAGCCCCTTTAACTTGTAGCAGATCACTTTTCTAACAGGTGCTGTAGATGGTCTTCTATGCACCTGCTCAAACCATCCCAATCTACTTTCTCTCATTTTATCACTCCTAGGGTCCTTATGACTTCAATTCTAACCTTGCCCTTTCTAGTTTGACCACTCGTCCATCTAAGCATTTTCATTTCTGCTACATTTTTTGGACATGCTGTTTCTCAACTGCCCAACACTCTCCTCCACACAACATAGTTTTCAACTGTTTTATAGAATTTTTCTTTTAGCTGAAGTGGTATTCACCTATCGCATAAGACTCTGGATGTACCCCTCCATTGTGCCCATCCTGCTCTAATTATTGTAAGCTCATATCATATAGCCATTCCTGTATCTGTGTCTGGGACCTCAGGAAATGGAGTTGTATCCCTATTTCTCATAGTTGCAATGCCCCTAGGGAGATTGATGGAACTTTTCACATGCTTCTTTTGGTGTAGCTTGCCTTCTGCATTGGATATACTATCTCCTCTTGTTTATGCTATATTATCCTTATATAGAAGCAGTAAAAATACCCAAAGGTATATACTGATATGTTAATTGTTTTGCAGAAATTAACAGGTGGTGTCTTACTGCTTAGAAACAAGTATTACATTGTCATATACCGCGGGAAAGATTTCCTCCCAACAAGTGTGGCTTTTGCCTTAGCAGAAAGACAGGAATTGACAAAAGAAATTCAAGATGTTGAAGAGAAGGCACGCAGTGGAGCAGTTGTATCTGCCCATGTGGAAGAAATTGGAGGACAAGCACTTGCAGGCACTTTGTCTGAATATCGTGAAGCTCAAGCTCGATGGGGAAGAGAAATATCTGCTGAGGAACATGAAAAGATGAAAGAAGAAGCTTCAAGGGCCAAGAATGCCAAGGCAGTCAAGCGAATAGAACATAAACTAACTGTTGTAAGCATCTCCCTTCTGAATATCAGATATGGAAATCAATGAGGGCCTTATATTATAATTGTAGTTTTCCATTGATTTCCTTCAATAAAAATAGATAGGCAAGCTATTATATTCTTTCCAACCCCTCCCAAACGTTGACTATCTTAAGCCCATTGAAGTCGTTAGCACTAGGTCCCAACCCAATCTGTAATCTGATATCTCTGCAATTCTATTTATGGTTCTATCTTTCCTTATAAAAGGTTATCCTGTTTTCTCCTTCCACAAACCCTGGAGTATGTAAAATGTGCCATCTTTTGCAAAATACACCACTTGTCACGAGTTGGACAAGGGACTTTTAAGAAGCTCATGAGAAGCTTTATGGCATTGTCTCTCCACCCTAAATGACGACAAAAAGAAGCTCCCAAGGATCTTCTCTACAATCAAGCATATATATTAACACCAGTTTTTAAGACATGAGGCAAGGTGTTTCTATTCCCTAATGCATGTGTACAAGTGTATTAATAATCCAAATTAATAATTTATCAATCATCATTTTTTTTTTATGAATACATCACCATCATCATCATCATTTTGCAATGATAATGTATAACTGCATTGCTATATTTAAGAAACTATAATGTGTGCACATAAATTCCTCTACAATTAGTTGCTATACATTTGGAGCTAGAGTTTACAAGGAAATCCTTGAATTCATTGCTCCCCAAAACACCCAAAAATATGGTTATCCCCCCTTTTACTTAGCTCGAAGCTTCCATATCCGTAACATGCCCTGAACGGTATGCAGGAAGCAGAATTTAATGTCAAATATGACTGAATGGTGGGCCCATTACACTGTACTGGATTTACAGTTTATGAATAATCTCCCATTTCTTTGCATAAAACAGAACCTGTGATTGGTAAATCCATGAGTAGAAGAAGGTCCTAAGCTCCTAGCAGTTAGCATTGGTGGAATAGAAGGGCGAGAAAGAAAAAATTAAGATCTAATGTGGAGGAAGATAGGGAAAATAAGGTCTCTCAAAACATGATGGATTCAAAGATCTTGGTCTTGTTGGATGGATAACTCAATAACCAATTTAATGAGGCTGAAATAAAAGTGATGCAACTTAAACTACTATACAACTATTTAAGATGCTTAACCTTATTCTTGAGACACCAACAAACTAGAAACTAGCTTTTAAAAGTCTCAAATTAACCAAAATTAGAACCTCCCAAAAATTACAAAATTTCCATTGGTTAGGAAGTCAGGAGAACATTGATGTCTTGATTTATAGATTCTTTTCTTGATTCTATATTTGCATAATCATCAAACCAAACCAGTGTGCTTTCAATCCACCTTTGACCCTGGAGGTTGAACAAGAGATATGAATAGTTGACCAGATCCCAGGTTTTTTATGATTTTGATTTTACCAGCTGGTTGGGACCATCAAACCTGCCACCAGCTAGCTTTTTGGGTCAACATCTGCATTGGATTTTAAAGCATTGCCCAAACCTTAAATGCTACCTTGGGACTTGTGTTTCCTGTATCTGTAAATTTGGAAATTTTGTTCTCACAGAAGATTTCTCTGATGCATCTCTGTAAAGAAACTAGAGTAAAAGGTAGAGATGAGAGTGGTCAGCTTTAATCTGTTTCTGATTTTTGTATGATGGCATCTAAAAAAAACTCTGATCCATCCTATAAGCAGACCTTGAAACAGCATCTGGAGGCCTGGAATTGTTGTTCTGCAGCTTCAAAAGTGAATTTTCCATGGGTTCTACTCTCAAGTCTTCTGAAAATAGATTCCTAGACCACATTGTTTGCACCTATCTAGTAGCAGTATCTTACATTGTCATTTGGCAGCAATGTGTAAAGGTGGAGGAAAATGTCATTAAGAGGTCAAAGATTGCACCAAGTATCCATCTGGAATTGAAATCTAGAGCCATTTCCCTATCTATATCTAACTTCTTTAATGAACTATTCCTTGCTTAATTTCGGAACAATAAGTAGTAACTTTCATAGCTCCCATCCTAGCTGTGTCAAGCCATATGTGGTAGCTATGATTCATCTCCATGGACTATCTGTTCTTGACCAGACATCTAGAATATTTTATTTATTTTCTTCTATTTTTCTGTGTCCCTCTGTGTTCCATTGGGGGTTTTTCTTTCTTTTTTTTTTTTGAAAAATGTGTTTGTATTACAAAAGGGGATTCCCCCAAAAATGTGTTCCATTGGAGCTTAACTTTAACTTATGCTAATGCTAGTTGAACTTGAAAAGTAACACATATTGGAATTTTACCTGCAGAGATTCAATCCATGCATAGCATAGTTTTACCTCTGTTCTCTATCATTTTGAGAACTCTCTTTATTTGCTTCTCTTTCATTGAGGTGTTAACCAAAGTAGCTGCATTCTTCTCGAATAGGCCTTCAAGGTTCAGTTTAACGGTTAGACAACCATAATTAAGTTCTGGAAAGCTTTGTGTGCAGTTAGTGGCCATCCATGTGGAAATTGCATAAACCTGCATTTCTAGATATGAAACCAAATATGATGTTTTTCTTGTGGTTTATGGTGCATTAATTTTGCATTACTTTTACCAGTAATTTTCATTTTCTTTTTGAATGAACTGGCCATTCTATATGTGACAGGCACAAGCTAAAAAATTAAGAGCAGAAAAATTGTTAGCAAAGATAGAAAAATCCATGGTTCCGGTTGGTCCTTCTGATGACCAAGAAACAATTACTGATGAAGAACGGTTTATGTTCCGGAGGGTTGGTTTGAGAATGAAAGCATATTTACCTCTTGGTAAGTTCCTCTTCTTTGGTTAGTATAAGCTCTGTTTTAACTGAAATAACTCGTGCTCTATGGTTTATTAATATGCCAGGCATACGTGGTGTTTTTGATGGAGTAATTGAAAACATGCACTTACATTGGAAGCATAGGGAACTTGTGAAACTGATATCCAAGCAGAAGACTCTTTCCTTTGTTGAAGACACAGCAAGGTTGTTAGAGTATGAGAGTGGTGGCATATTGGTAGCAATTGAAAGAGTCCCTAAAGGTTATGCTCTTATTTATTATCGTGGAAAGAATTATCAACGACCCATTAGTTTGAGACCAAGGAACCTTCTGACAAAGGCAAAAGCATTAAAGCGTTCAGTTGCCATGCAGCGCCATGAGGTGCAATCATCTTTCCCATGTTATCATTTCCTTTTCTTTATTTTTAACTATAGCAATCAGAGTCTTTATTGATTTTAAAGAAAGAATAGTGATATACAACAGGGTGCTGGACACCCAAAGTGTTAGGTTGGCCCCCTGCCACATATCCTCTTCATTTTTTTTTTATTTACAATTACATACATATCCCTATTTTCCCACTTTATACTTTTTATTGATGTTCATAGAATCTATTGGAGCATCATTCTTTTAGATAGCCAGTTCTTGATCTAAATTTACACATTCCAGTTCTTGATTTCCCTGTATATGTTAATGTTTTAAACTAATGAATATGTGCAGGCACTCAGTCAGCACATAACTGAATTGGAGAGAACAATTGAGCAGATGAAATCAGAAATTGTAAGCATCAATACTCATTGCTATTTCTATAATATGATGAAGCTCTGGTGGCAACAAAATTAGTTATTTCATGCATACAATTGCTAGTTTCCTTTCTTGACAAACCAATACATTTCTTTTTCTTTGGATGGTTTTTCCATCCTTTGCCTGTGTGTAAATACAGGATTTGTTTGGAATGGATCTTGTGCATAGATCAGCAAACAACTTTTGCTGATTCCTTAGCAAAGAACAGGGTAAACAGGAATAAATTAAACTCTGTGAAACAACCATCTAATTGATTTTTTGTAACATGTGTGGAAAGGGGTTAGGTGGTAGGAGGCAGTCTAATTGAGGGACTGTCTTTCTTGTATATAACGTTCTTTATATTCATTGGTGTTGAGATGTTGGGTGAACAGCTCTTAGTTCCTTTTATCTTTTATTCTTAGGTTTTAGTTGTTATGGGCCTAAGGCCCCTTTTTATTGCTTACTCTTGCAGCTACCTTACTAGGGGCAATCTTGTGAACTTCCTTTTATTTATGTTTAAATGTAATAAAACATGGTTAATGGGCTGGGAGTCGGCCATAATTCTTCTTCCAAAACTTTTTCTTCCCTTCTTTCTTCTCTCTTCTTCTTGCTGTTTCAGACTTATTTTTCTTTTGATTTCTTTGATTAAACACAGATTATTACAGCTTTGATTGACAACTTAATATCAGAGAAACCCTACCTCTTTTTTCTTTCTTTAATCCCATACACAGTGTGTATGGAGAACTAAACTGGTAGTTGATTGGTGATTCATTCGGCCTAGTTGGTGGAAGTTTTTTTTGAGATTTTTTTTTTGAAGCAAAGGTAACTTTTATTGAAGAAGAAGAAAACAGAAGTACATGAGAGGATGTACTGAAGCCAAGAATGGCTTGGCAGGATTACAAAGGCAAACAACTGTCACTAAACAAGAAATCTCTAGAGACCCCTGATTTTGCTAGGGTATCAGCAACAGAATTTTACTCCCTAGGAATCCAGACCAACTTCACATTCATAGAGCCTAAGATATCCCTGGCTTCAGCTAAGAAGTGGGCTAGTCTCCAGGGTACCAAGCTATAGTATTTGCAGAATCCCCTTTAATGGTTAAGAAGGATAAACCTAGCCGTTTGGCAAGGTGAATCCCTGTGAGTGCAGCCAATACCTCTGCCTTTGTGGCATCAGCCCTCCCAATCGGACCACTGTAAGCCCAGCAAATATTCCCCCTTTCCCCTCAGATTACACCTCCAATTCCTGCTTGACTTGTGGATCCTTTTCAGAATAGTTTTGGATGCCCAAGAAGCTTCTTGGAGGGTTATCTCAAAACCCTAGCTGACTAGAGAGGAATTGGAGTTGAGGGTCAAAGGGGTCCTCCCAGAGTGATGCTTAGGGTGTAAAAGACTTGTTGGACAACCTTAGTGAGATTGATCCAGGTTGGTAAGATTTCTGACTTCACTGGTAGGAGCAGTTAAGTTTTCTCAGTTTCTCCCAGGTAGCTGGGCAGTGTGAAACCCTGTTTTTGCTTGTTTTCCCCTCCTATGCTTTGGAAGATCTTAATTTGGGTCTCTAGTTGTTTTCATTTGTTTTTATTTTGATCATTGGAGTCATCTGGAGTTGAAATAAAGCAGAATAGTGAACCCGGAATTGATTCGAGAGGGCTTGTAGAATCCCTACTGGGTATTATGATCAAAGTAAAGCTAGATGGCACCAACTATTTAGCTTGGTCACAATCTTTGAGGATTCATGTGTGTAGTAGAGGCAGAAACCTAAAGAAGATAACCCTAGTTTTGAGAAGTGTACCCAGGAACATTACACTGTTATAAGGTGGCTTGTGAATTCTATGCAATCTCATATTAGCCAGCACCACCTGTGGATGGATACAGCCAAGGAAGTATGGGATAGTGTGGCTGAAACATATTCTCAGAAGATGAATGTTGCAGTGGCATACAAGCTGAAAAATGAAGTCAATAGTTTGAGACCGGGGAAAAAGCCTCTAGAAGTATACTACTCTATGTTTAGATCCTTATGGCAGGAGATTGATTTACTTGAAACTGTTGTGTGGGAGAGCACCAAGGATGCAGAAACATACGGAAAGCTGATGGAAAGAAAAAGGGTGTTTTGAGTCCTTACAGGATTCTAGTAGTGCTTTCTCCAGTTTTCTTATTTTTGACCATTTGTTTGATTTGAAACTTTCTGCCAATAAGACTGGATTATTGCTGTTCATACCTTTCCATCTCTAGAGGTAACCCTTAGTTAGTCAGATTACTGTGAAAATTTGGATTCTCCAACTCTTTGCTTTCTCAAATGGAGAAACAGAAACAGAGGGGCTGACATCTTTCCCTCTCAAACCCTCATTGGTTGCTAATATGTGTATCAGAAGGCAGTTTCTAAGGGCCAAAAGCCATGCTATAGAGGGGCTTGAGAGATAGGTTAGAGCAACTAAATGATCTTTACCAAAAAGATCAATTGGTCTGGCATGGTTATTAGGGTGTTTGATGAGACTACATTAGGACATATTTGGAATTTTGTAAGAGGTGTAAAAGTTGTTTTAACTTTTAAGTTAGAGATTAAGGCTGCATTTGGCATTCCTTATTTTTGAGACTTATCTCCTTTTTGCAGTTAAAATACCCCTATGCACACTGAGTTTTTAACAGCAAAAAGGAGATAAGTCCTTAAAATAAGGAATGCCAAATGCGGCCTAAGTTCCCTACCAAAGAGAACTATCAAGGAGGGAAAAGTTTTTTCTAGTGGATTGACCATGAAACACTTGACAGGAACCTTTGCTTAGTGATTTCCAGCAATGAAGAATCAGACTATTATTTGGTGGGTGGTGAAACTCCAGAGTTTGGGACTAATTCTTCATCCCCCTTGATGTTGTGTCCCTGGATGTGGAATATGAAGGGGTCCAGACTAGCAAAGGTGTCACTTTGTCAGTAGAAGCAAGAGGAAGATAAAGCTCTAGGTGACACTTCTGGTAGGAATGTCCTACGAGTGAAGGATTCAGGGAACCTGGTGCTTCAAGCACCTTCTTGAAGAGCTAAAAGTCTGATACAAGGGAGATCAGTTTTATCACAAGATTGAAGAAATTGGTCTTCACCTGTAACTACAGAGAAATACCAACAACCTCCATTGCTTGTTTTGGATCTTCCACATCTATGACCATTTTAAACACTCCAATGCCCGATGATCCTGGATTGCTCAAACTACAGTCATCAAAGTTTAAGTTGACTAAGTTCTTGGATGGGAGAAACCTAGATCTGATAATTGTTACTATTGCCGAGGAAAAAGCAGCCACATTTGCTAAGTCCTAATGATATCAACAGAGAAGGGTTGAATGCTTCCAAAATCTTCACCAATGAACTACATTAACAGATATGCCTTATATTAGAACATCATTGGTCTGGTTTTTGTCTTTAAAAATTTTGTTATTCCCTTCTTCCCAAACATGTGCACCTCCATAAGATTTTGTCCCTTTTTGGTTGAACAAGAGTTACTGAAAATGCTTCCCACGTCCCATGGACTCCACCTTGTGCATTACAGAACTAATATGAAATCCACATGGTGGTTAAGTTTTTCATGACTTGCAGTTTTTTTTTTAAGTTTTTTTAGTGGTGTCTAAGTCTGTTTGTCTATAATTGCTATTTTTGAGATGTAATCTAATTTAGCATGATAACCATATGTATTCAGAGAACTGTTCTTATTTACCACTGTTCATTACTTCACCAATGTGAAAACCCACTGTTTCCACTTTTGACAGGGTATGTCTAAAGATGTAGATTATGAAGACACCTGGAGTGAAGAGGATCCAAGAAGATTTGATAATGTTTCAGCATTCACTGAGGTGAGATAATTTGTTGTGGGCAACTGGTTTATTCAGTGTCAAATATAAAGGACCAATGGTTTTTCCCGAGCTTAAGTTAAAATACAGCTAAACCTCAGCATGCAAATGCAGAGTGAAGATGAAGGTTCCTCTATGGAGGATGATGGTGATGAGGATGATGTGGATGTTGAGTGGGAAGATGATGATGAGTCAGATTTTTAGAGAGCTATTCTAGCCATGATCTTTGTAGCAAGGAGAGTTGGAGCATTTTCTTTTGAAATTCTTTTCCAAAGGTAAGGGATGCCGTTTTTATTGGATTCCCAATGTCTTATCAAGGTAATCATTTGTTGGGTGTTTGAAAGCCATGTGTTAAACCGTTTTATGTTTTTTCCTATATAGTTTTAATTCATAGGCTCTCATCTAAGATGTGATCATCATTTGAATGCTTGATGAATGGAAAAAAATAAGAAAAGAATGGATTAAGTTTTTGAATATTTGAATCTTAGAATTTAGCTCCCTATGCATACTTGTTTGGCTGATGAATCAGCTAAATTCTTGCTACTAGCCTACTACTCTCCTAAGTATGAAAGGCATTTCAGACATATTTGCATGTATCATCCAATCATGCAGTGTTACAAGAAGCTTATGAGAGCAGAATAAAATATCTCAAGTTGAGCCAATGCTTATACCAGTGGCCAGTGGAATATATTTATTATATTTCACTTTGATCCCTTGATACCTCCTAAAATAGCTACTACTTATTGGAGGCTTCCATTAAATTAAACTTCCCTTTTGCCAATGTAACTACCTTGAAGCTTGCAGTGAGAAGGGTAATCTTCCTAACCTTTATCATCTCCAATTGAAATGTTTTTATAGTGTTTTGTTTTTTCTTTATCTCTCTTCCCTTTCTTTTTTAGCTTAATGCTTAAAACTATTGGCTTTTTGGCACAATGATTATTTCTGAGTGTGAAGAGTTGCTTCTGTAATGAAATAATGTAGCTGCCGAGAAGAAGAAAGTGCTTTCTTCTGGGGCTACAGGACTTCTAAAATGGTGCTTGCCCCAACTCGCAATGCGTTCCACACTTGAAGATTAAGAACCACCATCGAATGGCTCCCATTGTGGACACTAACTTGGTCAGAAGTCAACTTGGAGCATATTATAATTTATAAGATACATGCTTCTTTTCTCTTTTGTCTATTAATGTCTAAAGTACGTATTTTTACTCCAGAAGATTTGGGCTGTCGGAATGATGTTCTACTTAGAAAGTTCCAGAAGTAATGCATTGCTCTGATGTTTTAGTCAATTTGTCATGATGATATTTTTTGTAGGCGCTCTTTTTAACTGGGGCATTTCATTGTTGGGTACTTACTGATCATCTAAATAAACATTGTTGCAAGTTGTAGCTCGAGATGAAACTGCAGCTCCTGCTGCTCCAGACTTGAGAAAAACCTGTTTGAGAAACATTCAAGTAGTTGCAAATGAGAGTGCATATATTCATCATCGCTGGCTTTCTTTGCTTTGGACTTGACATTAATTTGGCAGATGAATGAACACGGCACACATCTACATGATTTTTAGACTGAAAAATTGCCAATGTGTATTTCCTGTCACCTGTAAGCACGTATGTCCTTTGTAATGATCGTTCTGATGTTGCAATGCATAGATCTCGCTCTGGAGAGTGGAGAGTGGAGAGTTTTTTAGATTTCTAGTGTTAAAAACAGTGGGATTACTCCTAGTTGAGCTTCTGTTTTCTAGATGGTTTCCAGATTTGCTTCACTAACCTCATGTTTCAAACTGAACTTGAATGAAACAGATGGTCATAAAGTCGCATATTTGCATGCCTGAAAGTCTACTTTTTCCTTGTCAAACGACCCAAATTTAATATTACAAGCTCTGGTTGATCGTGATATTAAAACCTCACCTTAAAATTTTGTTGTTCCAGTCTTCCAGGGTTCTCTCTCTCTCTCTCTCTCTCTCTACACATGCGTATGCAAGCCTACAATAGCCTCTATATCTTTTATTCAGAGATATTAGAGCTAAATCCACTTTTGATGAGTTCAGATGTGCATGTTAAGTTTGTTGACACCCAGGGCAACATTATCTCTTGGAAATTGGAAATTTGTTAGATTCTTGATTTGAATGGTTATTCCTCGTTTGGATATCGGTGCGTGCCGATTAGACCTGGCAACCGGGTTGGTCCAGCTGGGTTTGGGTCGGCAAAGGTTGCACCCTAACCCTCAATATTCAGGTTAGGGTTGATCCACAGGTCAGATAGATTAATGGTTCAATCATTCGGATCAACTGGTTTTGACCGTTTTTTACTAAAAATGGAGGTTTAACAGTTTGGTTTGAATAGTTCAAACTTCTGGGTCAATGCCGATTTGAAAAGTTGGTGTAAAAAAAAGACCAGATGGTGAACCGTGACCCAACGCAATCCGACCCGAAATCTAGTTTCGGTCGGGTCAGCTTATGTTGCCTTCTTAGTTTGGGTCGCTAGATAGGGAACCCTAGCCCGCTTTTCTAAGTTGGATTGGGTCAGGTTTGCAGGTTGGGTCGACTTTTGTCGGCCTAGGTAAAAGTTTCCTGAATAAGCCACGTTGATTTTGGGGATGAACCGTGAACGGAAGAAGTGGTGGCCTTCTCCGTTTTGTTAGGGAGGTGGGATCAATTGTCCTCTTTTATGACGCCAGTTACAAGAACTATTACGTACCCATCTAGTAGATTATGTTTGCCAAATACGAATTACTTAGCCAAATATTTCTTCCTTAAACAGTTACACTAAAAATAACCAAGTGTAATCAAAAGTTTAATATCTCAAGTCTGAACATCTGAGAAACAATCTTTGTCCGCAAAAAAAAAAAAAAAATGAGGAAGTTCGAGAGAGAATCTTGGTTCTATTTTACTTGTAACGATCCCAAGAGGATCTAATTAAAAATTCCACATATGCATTAAATTATTATTAAAAAGAATACAATTACAATACTGATTACAACCGATTGATCTAAATGGAAATGTAAGCATAATCTGTCACTACCAACTTGGAATATCACGTCATCTGGTTCACCTTCGAGTAGACAATGGTAAGAACCCCTATATATATATATATAAACAGCTTCTTGGACACTTTCTCATACAAAACCTTACTTACTACTGATGGATCAGTTACTATATCAGCTTCTCCATGCAGGATTAATAGCGGCAATGAAACCTGTTATGCATCGTACATGCTTTAAATCAACCACGGTGAAGGTCAAACTATAATCTATCACAACTAAACACTTTTAATATTGGCACATGCACTGTATTTTAGCTTGGCTAAGCAACATTTCTGTTGTCTAAGAACAAAATATTTTCCAATGCTCCCCACAATTGAGGGGAGATTAGTTAAGTATCCAAAATCTCTTCATCTCTAATGGTATACTTGTTTTCTTTTTCTTCTTTCTTTGTCAGGCAGAGGTGAGGTACGTGCCTTTTTTAAGTAAAGCACAAAAATGCTAAAAAAAGTCAAAAAAATAAAAAAATAATAATATTAAATAAAAATATAAACTTAAATTTTAAAATAAATGTTTTAAGAAAACATATTATCTCAAATTAAAATACATAAACATAAAACATATTTAAAATGAAAATTTAAAAAATAAAATCAAGCATAACATATTAACACATTCAAGCATTTAACTCTTAATCTCTTTATTTTCTTCCTGTTTGCATTACTTCAAATAGTTAATGCGATGTTAAACATTATGGATTCCTGATTCTATGAGTCACCTTTGTATCAAGTCTCCTGAGGCAAGCCCAAACAAGTCCATATTAAGGTCTTAAATTCTTAATCCCCATGAAATAAGATTTTATAATTTTAAGTGTCTTTTAAAAATATCTTTTATTAGGATGAGCAAATGAACAACATTAGCAAATATGAGACCCAACTGCTAAGCATAAAAAGAAACATAAAAAAAAAATTGTATAAATTTTCAAAAGGCACATCTAGACTGAAGCACAAGGCGCACTAGGCTCATGCACACCAGATGCACACCTTTTAAAAGTGTTGCGCCTAGGAACAATGTTTTTAATTTTATTGTAATATAGAACAACTAGTGGTTGTGATTGTTTACGGTAATTGTGCTATGACAGCTTACTTAATGCATGGTTTGCTTTAAGCCATCCAAATATGAAGATGACAGTGATGCATTTCTAGAAACTTGGCAAATCGTTAAGGAGTATACCTATGTCAATTTGAAAATCTTTCTAATGGTCGAGCCAGAGTGAACTAAACAACACTTAGTAGGGAAACTCATAGAGGTTCATCCACAAAGTAAATGGATGAAACCCATTATCAAGCTCTTAGCACTAAAAGAATTTGAGGGGCTATGCTATAATAATTGTTACGACCATAGTTTTTAAAATCGGATTGGATCGGAAAAACTGGAAATCGGTCAGGTGATCGGTTCCGTTTTCCCTAAAAACTAGATTTTCCCCAAAAAACCGTTGATTTTGGTTAGTAAACCGTTGAATCGGATAGTTAATCATTTGAACCGTTTTGACCGTTCTTTATTTTTTTGTCAGAACGATCGAGTGTTTGGGCTGAATGGGTCAAATCGTTCGACCAGATAACCGGACCCCTAACCGGTTCAGTCACTGGTTCGGTTTTAAAAACTATGGTTACCACAAATATCTCCTTGCAAGACAAAAAAACTATTTATAATGGAAGGGGATGATGAAGCTTGTGATGATACTACAAGAAAAATCGGATTTATCAACAGACAAAACCGTTGCTAAAAACACCAAAAAATCGTTGCTAAAATCTATAGCAACGGTTTAACAACGCTTTTTTGCCCGTGGTGGATATTGTCGTGGCTAACAGTTATATTGTCTGTTGCTGAATGGCACGTTTAGCAATGTTTTTACTAAACTGTTGCTGAATGGCACCTTTTTATTTAAAAATTTGATGAACAACATTGCAACTTCAGAAAAAATTATGTATTTGTATGATGGAGGATTTTCAAATAAAAGCTTTACACATTTGCACAAAATATCCATGTCTTTGTTCAATATTCACATTTACACAAGTCTTTTCATTACATCTAAACATTAATTAATAAATTTTCCTCATTGCATCTAAACATTTGTTTGTATATGCGTGCATCACACTCAAGACCTTCGCTCTGGTTCATAAACTTTAATCTACCAAATCAACAAAGAATAAATACTTAAGGATTGATATCAACATTAATTAATATAAGAGTTTTATATGCATTATACACTTACCATTGAATTAACTCAAGCAAGATGAGATCCAAGTGTATCTCCAAGAGTTGCCAAATTTCCACATTTCCTTAACAAAACTAAATCATTAATCATTACTGATTTTAAGGATATCTCACCCCATCCATAATCAAGTGCTTCATCACCAACCACCTTCAATATGTGACTACTCTATATTTGTGGTTCTTAGCCAATGACCTATTCAAGAAAATCCCACACCACCAGTTTTTTTGGACATAATATCCTATTTAGTTGATGCACAAATCTTGGAGTATACAGCATAGATTTTTGCAGCAATCTGAGTTGGTGTATAGTTTTTGGTTGTAAATGTTGCATACTTGGTCTATACATGTAAACATGTGCTATTATAGTGAAGAAATATAATGATTTTCTAAAAGATATGTATATTAACCCAACAGATGTAGCCTCCATCTACCAGTTTCAATCTCCATGGTAGCAAGCTCTTCTGACCTTAACTCTAGACAGTATAATCATATTGAAGACAATATCTAAGGTTCTCAGTTTTAAACTAGTAATTGAACTGAAATAAGCACTAGTAGATACTAGAAAGGGTGATAAGGGATTACATCATAAACCAAATGCAAAAGGTATTTATGCTTGAATGATAAAATGTCATAGAGGTTTAGCTCACAAGAACAATAAGGACCTGTACAAGTCTCTGACATTGAATCCAAGTGGGAAGTGCTAGTAAGAATAAATGTCCTTTTTAGCTTATTTTGTTTTACCTTTCTCTCTGTGAAAAATTTTCATGTAAAGGAGGTTTTCTTGTCCATCTCTCTATATCTTTGTAAAAGTATCATTGATGAACTTTCTTGTTACCAATAAAAATGGCATGGAGGCAAAACAATAGCATCTTTAGGACAACCGAATGGAATTGAATTACATAAATCAACAATCCCAAGTATATGTTGTTGAATGTGGCAAAACTAATCAAGGGCAGTTTTGTAAATTCTTATAGGCAATTCTATTCAAAAGAAATTTTTCATGGTGATAAATCTTGTGGATTCATGATACATAGTG